TGAACGGCCCCCTTACGTTAGCCTGGTGCGGGGCCTCCCCTCACGCTCTTTCTCTGCCCGCCCCAAGTCACTCCCGGCTGCCGGCACCAGATGGCCTGTTGTTCGGGAATTGTCCTGAAAGTAACCCAAAAGTTAACGTCTTGAGCCCAGAGTTTGAAAGTTAGGTGGTGCTTCGGCTTCTTTTCTGTGGGGGTTCATCTCCCCACCTGCATGATGGAGAGAGACTTCGGACCAGGGCCTGTAGTGACAGGGCAAGAGTTTTAAACTGGAAGAGACTAGGTTTAGATTAGATGTAAGAAAGAAAGTCTTTACGATGTGGGTGGTGAGACACTGGAGCAGGTTGCCCAGAGAAGTCGTGGATGTTCCATCACTGGAAGTGTTCAAGGTCAGGTTGGACGGGGCTCTGAGCAACCTGACCTAGTGAAAGATGTCCCTGCCCAGGGCAGGGGGGGTTGGGCTAGGTGATCTTTGAACGTCCCTTCCAACCCAAACTATTCTATGATTCTATGATCTTTGCCTTCATAAAAAAAAAAAAGAGAGGTGTTGCAGGAGTAGGCAAAGAAAGGTTAGAAATTTTCTGATGACTGAGCAACAAGACTCAAAGTTTGTCAAGAGTTTGCTGATATTAGGAATTATCTGGTATATAGCAGGGTGAGAATCAAGTACCTTCTCTGAATTGCTCACGCCCCAAATCGTGTCCCATTCCAGATCAGTATCCAAACCTTAAACAGTTTGGGCTGTCTCTTGTTCTCCATTTTCATCTACACAGACACAAACTTAGTCCTATTTTTAAATGGTTGAGTATATTAGTATTCTCATCATGCATGAAACTTACTCATCTCGTGCTATCACCACTCATTCCACTGCCAACTGAGTAGCTGGTTTGAAGATGGCAATCTGTCTTCAAAAAACAAACAATATGAAGTACTTATTCACCCAAGTTATACGAATGCTGCGGAATTTATCACACAGCATTGTGTTGCTAAAGTTTTGCAGGGGTTCAAAAGCAGTTGAGCAAAATCCTTCAAGGCATATGAAAGAAAAAGTTATATTTGGCTAAATAAATCCTTGAACCACAGGCTGCTGGAAGCTGGGGAAAGTGTTAAGGGAAGTATTGTTTTATGTTGTTACAGTCTTTCGTTTCCCCAGGCACTCTCACTGCTAGCTGTCCGAGGCATCGTACTAGGCTGATGGACCCTTGGTTTGAGGTGGCACAGTCATTTCTTAGGTAACCCCAGCTCCTAAATTCTGTGCCTTTAAGCTGCCTCCCAGATGCTGCCTCCTGCTTGTACATGTGTGTGTGTATGTGGTTAGGAGGCTGATTTTCGGTCTAGTGGTGTTGCTTTTTAATACTGCTTCATTACTCTATGAAAACCTGGGCAGCAAGTACCGTGTGTTTATGCATGTAATTCCAATAGCCTTGCAGCCACCTTGCTACTGCATAATAATAAATGTGCTAGAATCCATTTCCAGTGATGCTGGCAGACAGGAGCATGTTTTGTTTCAACATATCTTGGTTTATTTGTGATTCTTCTCTACTATAATTAGGACACAGCAATGTGTTAGAGGGTGAATTACAGATGTAAAAATTGTATTATTAAATGGAATAGTTCTTAAATGCATTTTTATGTAACAGTGTTACAGCTCTTGGTGATACATACTTTATAGTTCTTCTAAGGTCTCTGTGGGCATCCTTTCCAGGGGATAGCTGGCTCCTCTGCTTCTTAATGTGTGAAACCCTGCAATTTATTCCATCCTGAGACTGGGTGTTTAGGTCACTATAGGTCTGTTCACCAACTTCTAGGTTTTGCCAAGATGAGCTGTTGGGTTCTCACTGGAAAGTGTGAACAGTGGTGGCAAAGAGCAGGAACTTAAAAAGAAAATTTATGTATTTAACGAAAAGAACATAAGAAACTGAAAGAGAAAAGGTAAAAGTAACAGAAGAATATGCATACATATTGTGCTCAGGATGTTGGTTGCTCAGGACAAAAGCACTTGAGAACTAGACAGAGTGGAACTGGATGCATGTGATATATGCTGCACCTAACTTACCGTCTAACAGTTCATCTGTCAGCCCTGGAGTTCTGGGAGAGGCTGTGGCCAAGCTACCGAGTTACGCTGTGAATAAGTACTGATTTTGGGAGCCCAAAGAGCTCCTGCTCAGGGAAGTTATTTCTTTGAAGAAGAGGAAGACAATGGAATTTAGCCCAAATGTATGGCATCCAACTTCTGACATTTGACTGAGACATGTAAATCAGGAGCTAGGTTACCCCTTGTACCTGTGACATCATTGTAGGGAGAGAGGATTTTAGTACTTGAAATGCTTTACAGAAGTTCTTATGACCTTGTATTAGCTATACGGAGGACCTGGGGCAACTATGCCCTTAACTTCATTTTTCAGCTGTGTTGAATGAATCCCAGCCTCTGGGCCTCGAAAATCTGCCAAAGAAACCAAAGGGAAAAACTGTACTGTAGCCTACTTACAGCATCTAACCAACCTTCAGGATCTTTCTTGAGCATCTGGTTTGAGAAGGGAGGGCTGACCAGGCCAGTGACTGTATGAAACTGTGCAAATGAAATTTCCATTTAGATTTAAGAAAAGAGTTGGGAATGATAAGGTCTAATTTGGCAGGAAGGTGAGGGAAAAAGATTATTATTAGATGTGCCTAACCCTGAATAGAGGAAGTGCTAGCAAATTACTGGACCTTCAACTGGCTGAAGAAGATTGATGCATAATCCTTCAGTCATTTCATTTTTGTAGGGAGAAGCTCTTTTTTTTCTTTATTTCTTTTCATGTAATGCTACCCCCTCCTAGCCTTTGTTTCTTTGGAACTTTTAAGTAACAAAAACTGCAGGGATGAACTGAAAATCACACTAGAACTACCATTTTCAAGAAAAATCTAAATATTAAATAGGCAAATGAATTGTTCTCAAGTCACGAAGACTTGCCATCTTGAGAGGCAAAGCTCATGAGGTAGAATAGGGACTTGGGATAATGATGGGAATTTTTCTTTCACTTCTAGATCATCTATTCTTATTCTTACCACATTCGGGGATGAATGGCTGGCTTGCAGAAACAAAAGAACAGGTACTGAGCCTTTCAACCTCTGTGGGCTTAGGCTGACCAAAAGATCAGTCACAATCTATCAGCTATAAGCCACAGTTTTAAATCTTACATTAGGATGTGAAAGTAAGTCAGAGACCTTACCGCCTCTAACTGCAGAAAAAGTGAATTCCACAATGACATTTAAGAAGGGGATCCTTTCATCTGAAGCCTGCTTTTTCTGGTCCAGCAGCAGTTACTTGCAGTATGCTTACCTTCTGGAAGCTGAACTGCAAAATTAGCATCCTTCTTAACAGTCTCATGGTTTGTGGTTGAATTGCTGCTTAGTCCCAGAAACACATCTTGAGGCCACGGAGCAGCTGCTGTGTGGTTTAGATCGTTGCTAGGTGTGCTGTAGCTGTCCTGGAGATAAAGAGGACGTTTTTGTTAATAAGACTGCCAGTCTGCTGCCTTTCAGTGTGCTTAATCATACTTGCTTAAGGGAAAAACAGAGGAGGACAGAGGCATTTAAACAGGCAGCGTGTTCTTTGTGGATGTGCACACAAGACAAGACTCACAGCAGGAGAAGTTTGTTTTTCACAGGACAAAATGTGACAATAAATGACTGCTGTCCCTTAACTAAACAGGGGGAGGAGCTTTTGGATCAGTGAGGAACATTATTCACTCTGAGGCCTGAACCATTCAAATACCTTCTCCAACCAGTCCTACTGGGAGCACAGCAGAAAGATTGACTGGGGAAACTAAAAGCAGCATAGGTTGCTGCTTTTGCATATGCATACCTTGAATATTAACCCTTTGCCTTTACCACTTTTTCTTCTACAATTGGGGGCTGTAGAAACTGTGAAAGAAGGAGCAAAAGGAGGAATATTGCCAATTATCATATTTTAAAACAGGAATCTGAATAGGTTGCCCCAGCTGCCCTTGGGGAAGGTGCCTGTGGAAAGTAACACATTTCAGTAAAGAACTTATTTAAATGAGGAACGGTCCTTTGCATTTTAGCTACTTTTTAATGGGGAATGGGGTATAGGACAGATCCCCTGCTCCTTCATGGAGAAAATACTGCGGAGAGTCAATGCAAGTTAGTGCCAGAATAAGGGGAAA